CCGACGACATCGGGCCCCTCACGTGCCTGCTCCGTTGCCCCTCGGGGATATCCCTGAGGGTCTGATACACCTGGGGCCAAACTTTGATGATGGAACGCCGAATGTCCGAACGTCCGAGCCACGCTTCGAACCGCTGCTGCAAACATAGCCTCGGGAGAGCTGTCCCAGGGTCGGCTCCAGGGGGGCGCAACGCTCGGAGGGTGGTTAAGCACCTCCCGCGCTTGCTGGAACCTGCCGCTGCTCCGAGGCGCCGACGGTGCGTGAGCATTGCGCTGCCGAAGCACCCGTGGATCTGAGGTCCGTAGGCTGCCGCGGCCTGTGGGCCAGCTCGCTGAATCTGGGCGGTGGCCCCCCAACGCCGCGCGGCGCGGGCGAAACGGCGAAGACGGCCGTGAGCGCTGCCTGCCTTGACCGCCCGCTTCCGCGCGGTGTCCCTGGCCGGCCCGCGCCCGCTGCCGACGTCGACGCCGGGGCACGGGGCCTGCATGACAGCCTTCACCTCCACGCCCCTGCATTTGAGCTGAGCTGCTTGGTGATGTACACCGCGTCTGCATGATGAGCACAAGTGATCGCGCTCTTGGAAGCGATCTTCAACTTGAGCTTCTGAAACTCGCGCGCGGTGCTGAGCACTGCCTTGGTGAGCTCGCTCCGCACGTGCTGCCTGGACCCCGCGACGCGCTCCGACAGGTCGTCCACCCAGATGCGCTCTGACATCGTCGGGTGCGCGGCCGAGAGCTTCTTGCACACAAACGCCGTGAGGCACTTGGCAAACCTGGTGCCGTTCCCCGACCCCTGGATCACGGATCTGGACGCCTGGAACGGCAAAGACACCGCGCCTAGCTGCGCCAGCAGCCGCGGGGCTAAGAACATCTGCACTTCCAAGAACAACACCGTGGGCGGGAAGCCCTTCTTGAGGGCGCAAGATGCCAGCGCTGCCATCTCGATCCCGTCGTAGAAGGCCTCGACGTCCAACAAGGCCTGCCCGTGGGGTATGTGCAACGCCGACTGCACGTCGTCCTCGAGCGCCCTGACGAATGCCTCCCTCAAGGCGCTGTTGCCAGCGATGGCGGCGTCCCAGTAGGTCGTCCTGGTCGGAGACCCAGTCGTGGGCGAGGTCCTCCCTGGCCATCGACCATACGCGGCAGAACATGGGCAGGAGCCCTATGCACCTGTCGCCGCCCGACTTCTTGCCGAGCAGGCGACCCAGCACGCACATGACCTGCCACGGCCACGTTAAGCCCTCTTCGGCCATGCGGTAGAGGTCGCAGAGCTCGCATGGGACCCTCGTCGGGCAGGCGCGCGAAGTCCGTGGGCGATAGCATGTCCACACCCATGCCCGCTCTCGCCCTCATCTTGGCGAGGGCCTGCCTGGGGTCCAGCACGGTGAGCGGCTCCAGCTGCTCGGCCTGGGCGTGCTGGCGGATGAACTCGCGCGCCTGGAGGATGTCCTCGTAGGAGGAGTCGCTGGACTGCCACAGCGAGTGCCATCGCTGCACCTTCCTGTCGATGATGTCCACGGGGTGGGTGGGACTGCACCCGTCCACGTGGAGTTCGTCCTGCTCTGGCAAAGGATCTTTGATCGACCGATGAACTGCTCCCGCAGAGTCGGAAATCCAATCCTGGAAACTCCTCAACGAGCCTGAAGCTGCCTTGTTCTGCGCCCGCCGCGCCGAGCGGAAGGTGACTTCCTCCAGCGCCTCGAGCTCCTCGATGGACAGCTCGATGAGGCTCCTGAGCCCGCGCAGCACTCCCCTCCACGACCAGGAAGAGCCTCCTGGGAGAGTAGCCCCTGCGCCGTCCCCAGGCTGATCTGCCAGCCCGTGGAGATTGTAGCTGTAGGGCACCGTTTCGCCGCCGACGATGCCTCAAATATTGCTTCACGATGGTGTGGGCTCTCGCCCACCAGGCCGCTACTCCGTCTCGAAGCGGTTGCTGCCGTATGTGTAGCGCCTGCTTCACTGGAACCACTGCGACGCCAATCCCTGCCCTCGCGAGCGTCTGGGAGGCGCGAGCCCGTGATGCTCGGATATGGCCGACCCTGCGATGCTGATCCAACGGGCGAAGCAGCTGCTGACTGGTAGAATGTGCTGGCGGCCTGCGGCGAAAACAATGGAGTCTTGCACTGGCCGCCAGACGTCTGAACGCGACTGTGAGTGCCAAACGGCTTGGGCCGAGTGCGACGCCCACAGGGATGAAGGGGGAGCGAAATTAGGCAGGACAGCATCGGCAGCGGCAGCGGAGCGGGTGAGATTGTCCTGACCCCCAGCCGTGCTGGGGCCCCCTTCCCCTGGCGGCTCGGCTGAAGTGGACTGCTGATCCCCCGACCCCACTCCAGCGTCACCCACTCTCGAAGCGGGCCCCATGACTGAGCTGCTTTTGCTTGAATCGGAGCTCCCCAAACTGGTACTATTGGTGCCCGTGAGGACGCCTACAGGATGAAAGCACGACTCCGAAGCCCAAGGGTCCTCTTCATCCCACTCTTCAAACTCCCCTGGGTCATGATCCCTCGCGGGGCTGTCTCCTGCGGGAGCACTAACCTCGGGGTCAGGAGGCTCGGAGATTTCGGACCCCTGGGAAACGAAAATCTCGGAGCCCTCGGCTTTGTCCCTGGTGAGCAAATCGGAAAAAGCTTGCCGCGCTCGCTGCGTAAACGCTCCCGAGCTAGCTGCGCCCGCTCCTTTTGAAGGGCGCGGGCTCTGCTGGCCTTAGATCCCTCTGTGTGGCAAGTCGATGGCCTAGGGGCCTGAGGCAGACGGGGGGCGGATATGAGGGAACGAGTGGGGAGCTGCTCGCCCGCACCGTGCAGCCTAAGCTCGAGCGCACAGTGCGGGCCCCATGGAACGTCTGTCCTGGCTGACAAGCTGTGAATGTAGGGGGGCCCACTCTCGGACGCCATCAAGAAATCGATATGCGAGCTACCTGCACTCCCGACGCACGTGTATTCGTTATCGGCCTGACGGGTGTGTCCGTGCACCCTTTTCACAAAAGCAGAGCGCCTAAACGCCGAGACATCCTGATTGAAGTCTCCCAGCACGATCCAAGGGAGCTGCACAGACTGCAAAAGCGCGCCCAGTCGCGCATACCTCTGCGCATTGGCGCCCGTGAAACCGAGCGACGGGTGCGCATAAAAAAGGATAATTAAGATGTTGTAGCCTTGCATGTGGACCACTGCGGGGAGGAACCCGTCGAAATAACTGGATTCATCGGCACAGAAAGCGGCGGCCTCAGACGTCTTGCCGTACAGCCTGTGAACGTTGCGATGACCTGGCGCGAGAAGGACCTCCCCACCTTCGTTCGCCATGGCCGCCCCTGCTGCTGACGTGCCCCGTCCAGTGCTGCGAGCTGCATTGTCCAGGTACCTCCACCTCGTCGGCCGAGACTTCCTCGCCCACTGCGCACTGGGGTGGCAGCCCGCGTGAGTCTCGACCATCCCAGCGAGGTCGTACTTGTCTAAGAACTCCTTGCACCCGATGTGGCCCCAAGACTTGGGCCCGAGACGCGTGACATTGCTGAAGAACATGGTGATGACGCCGTCGGCGTCGTACTCTGCTTCATGAGGTAGTGCACCTGCGGTCGCATCCTGAGCGCCGCTCGGTGCCGACGGCCGACTCCCTGACGAGGCCGAAGGTGCCGTCGAACCTTCGGCGGGAGCTGGAGCTCATGCCGACGACGTCGCCGCCGGAGCCGCGGGCGCCTGCTCCTGCATGCGCGCCGCGGCCTCCTCGGCGGCCTCCCTCGCCTGCTTGATGCGCTGCATCTCGGCCTGGGCTGCCTCCTCGGACGGCCCCGCCGCGCCTGCCTCCGCCGTCGGCGTGGCGGCGGAAGCCGCGGCGCCCGCTGGGGAGCCCCCTGCGGCTGCCGTGGCGGCGGCTGGCGTCTGGCCGTTGCCGTCCTGCGTGGCCTCCGTCTTGCGCTTCTTCTGGATGCGCTCGTGGATGGCCTGCTTCATCTCGCTGATCTTCGCCTTCCATGAGGCGATGTCGGCCGACTTCGTCGCCAGGTCCGTCTTGGTGGCGATGAGGTCGGCCTCGAACTTCCTGAGGGCGTCCTTTTCGGCCTGCTCGCACTCGACGTTGTCAAGGCTGGCGAAGAACTCTGTGTCCCACGAGAGGTCCACGAACTCCGCCTTGGCGGGGCCATTGCCGTTGGCGCTGCCGCTGTCGCTCGTGTTGATGCCGAGCTCCTTCGCCAGCGCCGTGGCCGCAGCCCTCTTGCCGATCTCCGCGGCCGCCAGCGCCCGCAGGTTCTCGGCCTCCTTGGCGAGGGCGCGGTCCAAGTTCTCGCGGCACCTCTTGACGTGTGCGGCCGACTGCTCGTACTTAAGCGATGCATCTCGCCAGGCGCCCTCTGCCCTCTTCACGGCCTCAGCTGGCCGCTCGAGAGGCGGGGCCGCCGTCGACTTGGCCGACTGCTCTGCCTGGCGTGCCTGCTCCTGCAGTTCCCTCTTCTTCACGGGGTCCTTCTCGATCTTGCTTGCCTGCGCCAGCAGACTGGAGACTGTGAGGTTGCCCTTCATCGCCCCTTGGAGGCTGGGCTGCTGGTCCTCCGTCTGCTGGTCCTTGAACTTGCTTGCCTTGTGCAGCTTGACGGGCGCATGGCACTTGCGGCACTTCAGCTCTGCTTTGACGAGCACGTCATTGTACCCGCTCGTGTTGCAGCGCTTGCACGTGGACCACGCGCGTGCCATGGCTGCTGCTGGTCGAACCTCTCTTCGCCAGCGGGACTGCTCACAAAACAGGGAGAGTGAGAAACCCGCTGCCCCTCAAGCACTACGCGGAAGTGAGAGACCTCGGCACGGTGCAAAATGTTCTCGCGCCGATATTGCTTGAGGGAGGAGGAGGAGGAGGAGGAGGAGGAGGAGGAGGAGGGAGGAGGAGGGAGGGGGGGGGAGGGGGGAGAGAGGAGGGAGGAGGGAGGAGGGAAGAGGGAGGAGTGGGGAGGGAGGTGGAGCCGCGCGCGCTGCATCGTCTCAGGTGCTCTCCTCCTTCCCCGCGCAGGAGACCACGCTGGCCTCCTCGTCGATGCCCCTCGTGGCCGGCCAGGCCCGCCCCGCCCCGCCGCCCTCTCCCGCCCTTCTCTCGCGGAAGGGGTCTGTGCCGCGGCGGCGGCCGTCGGACGGGGCCACGACGAGGATAAGTCGTAAGTTGGGCATGTCCCTCTAGTGGAGGAATATTCAGAAATAGTCGAACTGTAGTCTGGGGACGATTTTCCGACGATGTTTAGTGTATCATTTTTGATTATATTATGTTCATCCAAAATCCGCCTGGAGGAGGACATGCCCGACCCAAGACAAATGCGTTATAGAACGTTCTGGAACGCTCTCAGAGTGTCCCAGAGCGCTTCGCCTTCTCCTCCTCCTCCTCCGCCTCCTCCTCCTCCCTCCTCCGTCTCCGCCTCCTCCGCCTTCTCCTCCTCCTCCTCCTCCTCCTCCTCCTCCGCCTCCTCCTCCGCCCCCTGCTCCGCCGCCTCCTCCTCCTCCGCTTCGTCTCAGGCGGCGGCGCGGCGGCCCGTGGGCCCCCGAGGCGGCCCCGCTGGCGGCCGGCATCCTGGACAACGTCGGCCTGCCAGAGGGCGGCAAGGGCAAGGCCAGGCGGCCCCGCGCCGCGTGATGGAGCGGCGCCGTCGCGCCGGCGATCTGCGGCGAGGGGGGCGGATGAGGAAGAGGAGGCGGAGGAGGAGGAGGAGGCGGAGGAGGAGGAGGAGGAGGAGGAGGAGGAGGAGGAGGAGGAGGAGGAGGAGAGAGGAGGAGGAGGAGGAGGAGGAGGCGGAGGAGGAGGAGGAGGAGGAGGCGCAGGAGGAGGAGGAGGAGGAGAGGAGGAGGAAGAGGAGGAGGAGGAGGAGGAGGAGGAGGAGGAGGAGGAGGAGGAGGAGGAGGAAGAGGAGGAGGAAGAGGAGGAGGTGGTGGTGGTGGACGGCCATGAAGGCGGGTTCAAAGTCAGAAGAGCTCGCCGTCAGAGGCTTCAGAATCGTTGTCTGAACCGTCCACGGCCCGACGCTGCCCGAGTTCCTTCACCCTCGGCAGCTCAGACTCCAGAATCCCAAAAGCCGCAAGGACAGATGCTTGCGAGGGCAGTCCTGGACAGAAGCCTTCAGCCGCAGCCGAGCCCGAGCTCGCCGCCGCTGCTTCACACGAATCCACTAATCCCTCGATCTCGACCTGTTCCTGCGAGCTCAACGGGCCAGAAGGACCGAGCACGAGGGATTTCGTGGTGGCACGGTAGTGTGGGTGCTTTCCCGATCGGATGCGATTTAGCTGGGACCTGATCCCTGGGCTAGCAGGCTTCCCGAGACAACGCTCCAGGAGGGTATGGCCCAGACGCCCCGAGGTATAGCCCCCACACCGAAAACAGAAAACCACTTTGTCGCCTACTTTCGAAGGCGTCTCTATCGAGCATCGGACGAGCGCGTGCCGTCTGAAGTAGAACGCATATCGGGCCTCGTCGGCCCAGCTCTGATCAACTCCTTCCTCCGCTCCAGCGACACTCGACGACGAGACGACCTCCTCCTCGGCGGGGTCGGGCGGGGGCTCCGCTGGCAGCTCCTGGTCGTGCAGCTGCAGCCCGACCGTGTCCTGCCTGCTCTGGCCGCTGGTGGCCATCAAAACCTCCAGCCTACCCGCCCACCTCCCTTGCTCGGCCACAAGGGCCTTGAAACCACGAACAAGTTCAGCATGGGAGTCCTCAACTCCATGCATTCTTGCTCCTAGCTTGGCATACTGATCAGCACTCGAATTGGCCTTTTTCTCCCAGACCGTAGTGCGACCAGCTTCGATGTCCTTACTGGTGGCGTGTTCCAGAGTCTTGTGGGCCTGGATGTCACACCCCGGCGGCCCAGAACGGGCTCCACATGTGGCCCCTCGGGGACCTCGCTTCAGCCCCTGACCCTGGACCTCCGAGCAAAACATCTAGAGTGGCCTTGCAATCCAGATACAGATCAAACGGAGCGATGCCCACTTGTGTGAGCATGTGAATCGCGAAATCCTCGCCGTCTTTGGCCGTTTGGCGAGGGCCGAAACTGAGCGGCACGGGGCCGTAAGCAGCATGCAGCAAGTTTCCCAGACGATCCACCTGCACGAGAGCCCAGCCAGCTCTGCAGACTCCTGGAAGAGAGGGCCACAAGGCCGAGCCGTCACTAAAGATGCACCCCGTGAGGAAACCACTGGCAGGCTTATTAACCCACCTGATCGTGGTCTCAGGCTCCTCTCGAGGAATGAAAGCCAAGGGGCTGGGCATCACACATTTCGCAAACCGCTCCCCAACGTCCTCCCCACAATCCAAGACACGGCGGGCGCCAGCAGCAAGCCAGGGGGAGACGGCGTCCCTTCTGACGCTGCTGTGCGCAACACGTTCGTACTGCCTGTGCCACAGCGTCCCCCGAGCCTCCTTACAAAGTTGACAGACATCAGAACTGTGCAGCCCGTGACCAAACACTCTGGCCTGCGGCCAATGCACATTGCACACAAGCGAGCGAAGCGCACGCTGGTGATGGGCCGTCCAGATTTTGGTTTTACCCCTGAGGAGCGTCCCCAGGCCGGCCCAAAAAATCGGAAAAACACCATCGAGCCCTCGAGGGCCCTCGCCCCCAAGGCGCCCCACGCTTTCCAACGCAAGCCTGTCGGAGGCTCTGGGAGCTCCTTCGTGCACCAGTTCCCTGATCTCACAGGGCGAGAGCTAGCTGAGGTTCCAAACCGAACCTAAGTCATCACGGAGCCTGGTGCTGGTTAAAAACCTCCAGCCGATCCTGTGCAGGGAAAGGAAAGCAACATCCGCTGGCGACGAGGCAACCCTCCAAGGGTGACGGTAGCGCGCCAGTTTTTCGATAGCCGCCTCCATCGTCGCCCCCAGGATCAGCCTCGAAGGAAAACTATCCCAAACAGCCGTGGCCCATTGAAACACCACGTGCCCCGTGTAGGCCACCAAGGGATCACACAGCAAACCCATCCTGAACGAATGGAGCCTGAGGCCTAAACTACAGCCTTTGGGGAGGCGACCGATACTCCGAGCAGCCGAAACTCGAAGACCGTGCATCGCAGACGGGGGGATGCCCATCACACTGCTCCCCCACAGGGCCACGGCGGTGGCCCCGACTCTTTGGATGAGGCCGACCTCAGCCCCTGCATCGCGTAAAATCTGAAGCCTACGAGCTCGAGATCTAGCATTCGCAAACCTACTCCTGGCTATCCCAACTCTTCGACAGGAACCTGACGCAGCATCCGTTCCCAGATTTCGAGCTGTGTCCACACGCGACGAAGGCGGGATGCGCCGTTGCCCCTGGAAAAGCTTCTGCACATCGGCACTACAGATATACTTGGTCTTTTTCACCGCGACAGGAAGGTTAAGACGATCGAAGTCCCTGAGCAGCGACTCGACCCCCGAGCTGAGAACCGACGCGACCTGAATAGTCCTTCCACACGCCTGCAGTGCTGTGTCATCCACCACGTTTCTGATGTATAGCTGCGGTCTCCCCTCTCTGGCCTTCAACAGGGGCCCAAGCAGGAGCAAATTAGCCAAGCTCGTCGCCCCACTGCAGCCGGCTATAACTGAGCCGTTCGCGCGCACGATGCTGGACACCGCGCCGCCGTAGAGCAGCGTGCGAGGGCATGTGTACACCGTGCGCAGGCAGCGTAACAGCCGAATGGGAAACTCGAATTTGAGAGCAGCTTGGTACAGATCCTCGTGGCCAATGTGTTCGTAGAACTTTGACAGATCTAATAAAGCGGTTCCAGACTCGAACCCAACACTCTTACAGTAACTGCCCAGAAGGTTATGTATCCACCCCGCCCGTTCACATGTGGTGGTACTGCTAACACCCCAGAACACATCTTCCATGTGCGCCTGCTCCCACTTTTTGAACAGCGGTTGACGGACCCTGGACCATATCTTCGCGAAGAACGCCAAAAGTCCAATGGGGCGAACCCCCCCATCACTCTTATCGATGAACACTAGATTCGTCATGAACAACAGGAGGTCTTGCGGGGCCCTTTCGAACTGATGCAACACGTCGACCAACCGAGCGACATATTCATCGCTTAGATCAAGAACCCAACGCGGATGGAAACCATCCCACCCCAAACCACACCTCCTGGCATACCTCTTACATACACTTCGAAGCTGGTCAACCGAGATGGGCGGCAACTCGGGCTCCTCGAATGGGATCGTCCAAGACGACGGGTGATGGGCCCCTCGGCCCGCTGCAATCCAGAGCGGCGTCCAGACCTGCAGAAGAAAACTGAGAGTCTCTTGCCCACAAACAGGGTGGCCTGATTCATTCAGCATGGACGTGGGGCTCGACAGGGTTCGCCTTGAAAAAGCATGCGCTGCTTTGCCTCCTCCTTTGACAGACCCCGCCGCCCACTCCTTCCACTCCTTCAGACTTTCCTTAGCGTCCTGCCTCCTCCTCCTGCAGACCTCCTTGTCTACCTCCTCCAGCACCTCCGAGTCCCCCTGGAGCTTTCCCTCTGAAGCGTCCCTGGCGAGCTCCACGAGCACCGAGGCAGGGATAACGCCCTCGACGGGCTGCATGCTATCTATCATGCGCTCCAGCTTGGCACGCCAGCTGGAAAGAAACTCACGGCCTCGACGGCCGACTGCACCTGCAGCGGATTGACGGCAGCGCTGAAGCAGGGCCTGAAAAGCAATCCAAGAAGTGGTGGAGCTGGAGAAACGTCGCCTCTGGTCCTTATCCCAAAGAGCCCCAAGAGGAACTTTCTGCATCCTGGGCCCTCGGGCCCTACCCGTGTAGTACTTGGTGTCCGACTCTTCTATCCCGTGGATGTGGACGAGCCTGGCTTCTGAAAACGTAAACCATCTTTTGCACATCTCTTCCAGGGGAAGCTCAGCGCAGTCGGCGCCCAAGTTCCAACCCCAATCGAGATCTTCTGGAGGCTCCTGATGGGGTCCATAGAGGTCGTGCTCAAACGCCTTAAGTCTCACTTGCCTGTAAATCACCGCCGTGTGAGAGAGGCCCTCGAGCTCCATGTAGACGGGGCTGTGGGGGTACAGCGGGGCAGCTACGAGGACCTGGAGGCTCTTGACCCTAGACATGAGGCACTCTGCCACCACGAAGTAGTCCAAGACACGGCCCCCACCACCTGTAATCTCCACATCATCATTGTACAGGGCCTTGCCCTCCATCACGGCCTGGGAGATTTCGTCCGCGGTCCGATTTTTGCCCGAAGCGGACCCGGAGAAAGTCGGCGTCGTCGGCGAAACAACTTCCCCCCGAACTGTCTGAAGCCAACCTGAGGCAATCAAATCCGACGGCAAAAAGTTGAAGTCCCCCTGTACAATCCAGGGCAGCGACTGACTGAGGAGAAACTCGCCTAGCGATTCGAGCAAGGTCAGGTTGGGTCCCGTCATCTCGATACCCGCGATGAAGTAGGCTGAGACGAACAACATGCCTTGCGGGAAGCCGACGCTCGCCTTCCGAATCACGAATCGACTCTTGCTACCACCCAGCTCGATTGAGGCAACGTGCTCAGAAGCGATCGACTGCTGCACCGCGACTGCAACTCCAGACGAACTTTGAGTAGGGCCTGGGCCAGTGCTGTGCGCCATCCCATGAGCAACGTGCCAACCACGCCTCGTACACCAGCGAGTTGCTGAGATCACCTTGTCGGGGTTCTTCAGCCTAGTCTCCTGCACGCTGAGCACATCAGGGACCACATCCAGTCCATCGTTCTGAGTGCCGCGGTCCATGAGCCACTCCACGACCGTCTCGGCGGTGCTCCACGCATTCGAGTTCATGCCGAGGAAGGTGAGCGACTTGGCCTCTCCCTTGGGCTCCTGCTTCGGCTCTGGGGGCCCGTCAATTGAGACCACTCCCTCGTAGCTTTCGCTCGCAACCTGAAAACGATCAACATAAACTCCCTTGGCAGTCACGTCCTGAAACTCGCAGCGGCGCTCCTGCAACTTCACACCAGACACGTCGGCGGCCTCGATGTCCGATGCGAGACGGCTTTCAGTCGAACCTCGAGCCACATCAGGAACTCGTTCGTCGACGAGAAGATTACGACCAGGAGGCTCGAACGTCCTCCTGTCTGGTCCCGACCATTGTTTTTCTGACGCAAAGTCAAGCTCAACTTGGGGAGGAGGGAACGCGGCTTCCAAACCGCAGCCGGCCTCGCCAGCCGCCCCCGAAGGTCGGTGCCCTCTGGCTCCTTCGCAGACCTGGCCGAGGGGCGCTGCGCAGTGCGTGCCGACGGCCGCAGCCGAAGGTCGGTGCCCGCTGGCGCCCCAGTTGCCAGCTGACGGAGCTGAGCAATGCGTACCTTCGGGGGCCAATGTACCCGATGGAGCCGCAGACGCCCTTCGTGATGCAAGGATGTCGTCTGTGTCGCCCCTGCCCCCAACCCCGAAGTGGGCCAGTTGGGGAATACCTTCAGCTCCTTCATGCGGCGACCTCTGCGGCCCCCCTGGGGCCGTGAGTGCACCACTCGACGCAGATGGCCCAGCACTCGTCAAGGAACTCGAAGCCGATGTGGGCCAAGGGGTGTGACGATGAGGGGCTGAATCCCTCTCCCCTTGGCCCGAAGGAGGCCTGCCCCCGCCTCTTCGCTCAGGGGCTGGCATGCCTCCGCTCAGAGACATCCGAGGCGGAGCCTGCACCGCGGGCACGGCGAAGCCGCAGGACCACTCCACGTCGATCGCGTTGTAGTCCCAGAACGCCTGGAGGTCCGCTGGGGCAGCACACGCCTCCCGCCGAACGACAGAGTGCCGAGCAGGCCTCTTGGGCAGGGACGCCACTCCGAGCGGCGGCCAGTCCTCCAGCGACAGATCATCACCTGCTGCATCAAAGCCGCCGCTGCTTCTTCGCCGAGTGCTCCGCGATGAACTTGGCGACGGCATCCTTCTCGGCTCCGCTGTCATAGAGGCGCTTGAGGCCTGCGTGGAACTCCGCGTCGTCGAAGTCGTCTTGTTCCATCTTGGAGAATCCAGCTGCCACAGCTGCTCCAGCTGCTGCCCCATTCTGTGCGCCCCCGCCTGCGGCACCTGCACCAGGAGCGCCAGCACCAGCTGTAGTAGCAGAAGCGGCGCGGGCTTGAGCAGCAGCCGCTGCCTCTTCGGCAGCTTGCTTGGCAGCCGATTCCTGAAGCCTGCGCAACACTTCAAGAGCCTGGCGCCCATCTGCCGACTCCTTGACTGAGGTCGCGAGGCCTGCGAAGCCGAGCTCGAACGGGTCGGCGGTCTGCTCAAGGTGCACACGGTGCGACACCTTGATGTTCCGCTCCAGCTCAGAGCGCGCCTCCGTGAGCTGGGTCTCGGCGTCGGTGATGGCCTTGTCCAGCTCGTCCCGCTGCTGCGTGAAGCTGAGCACCTTCTGCTCCTTGCGCTCCACCTTCTTCTTCGAGTTCTCAACCCTGTGTTGGGCAGCAATGGCAGTCGTAGGCCTGGCTTCCTGCTCCGCGATCTGCTTCTGCTGCACCGATGTGATGACAGACTCGTCAACCTTGTAGGCCTTGAGGAACTGCACCACTTGCCCGAACGTGAGGTCAGACTGAGGCTGCTGCGGCTGCGTCGCTGGACGCTGCGCCGATCCGCCTCCGCCTCCCCCGACTTGAGCGCGTAAGGCACTGAGCTCGGCCTTGAGCGCCTTGATGGATGCCGACTCGCCTGGCGGCCCGTTGGCCCACGCGCCCTTGGGCCCACGCTGGGAAGGGCTGCGGAGCTGCTGCGCGGCTGCCTTGGCATCGGCTTGGATCCGCAAAGGGGCTGGCTGCTGACACCCTCTGCACTTGAGCCTGCTGGCCCAGTTCCCGTCAGTCCCGCACTTGCACCCCCACGTGGGGTACTTCGGGCCTGGCAGCACATCGTTTTGAGGAGGGCCCATGTAAGATCCTGGGCCACGATCGCTGAAATGGCTCGCAGGCACGATGCCACTTCGAAGTACGTACCTGCAACACCGCTCGAGTGCGAAATGGCTGGAGGAGGAGGAGGAGGAGGAGGAGGAGGAGGAGGAGGAGGCGGAGGAGGAGGAGGAGGAGGAGGAGGAGGAGGAGGAGGAGGAGGAGGAGTAGGGGAGGAGGGGGAGGAGGAGGAGGAGGAGGACGGGAGGCGTAGGAAGGGGAGGAGGAGAGGCGGAGGAGGATGAGGAGGAGGAGGAGGAGGAGGTTGAGGAGGTGGAGGAGGGGGAGGAGGAGGAGGATGAGGGGGTGGATGGGGGAGGAGGAGGAGGAGGAGGAGGAGGAGGAGGAGGAGGAGGAGGATGGCCATCGATCGTCATCGTCATCCGACGCCGATGCTCGAAGAAGAGAAATGGCATGAACATAAACTTTAGGCGCTCCGCGCGGGTTTCTTGGATCCGCGCTGGTCCCCCCGGCGGCGCCTCCGGCGCCGCCTCTGGCGCGGTTCGCGCGCCAGGGAAGGGGGTCCAGCGCGGATCCCAGAAATCCGGGCGGAGCGCAATCAGTTTATGTTTATGCCGTTTTCTCTTCTTCTATTTCCCCTTCGAAACTCACCATCTCGACTCGAGGCTTTCGTCAGTGCTTCAGTGCTGGCAGAGACAACCTTCGACGATGGCGGCTGCATGGGCAACGACGGCGGCGGAAGCGGCGGTGGCGACGACGTCTCAGCGGCAGCTGTGGCGATAACAGCAGGCGTCCTCTGGAGGCCTCCAGAGGGAGGTTTCCAGCCAAATCGCAATGTCTACATCTTCCAGGGATTGCCGACCTTTGGCTTTTAATGTTTATGTCAACTTCTGCCCGTCTGTAGGCCATTGAGTGTAATCGTTAATGATAAACACATGCGAATGAAGATGCATTGCGTTCTTCCCAGTGCTCGTTTCGCCAGCGTTGCCGTGCAACGCTCCTGATTAGGAACACGCAATTTGGGGTACTGTTTTTTTCGGCATGCAACCTGGGCAGCTCAGCTGTGGGCTTGAAATTAGCAGTCTAGGATCTGCAATGTGTCAGTGTGGACATCAATCACACAGAAGCTGGGCAGAGGTGGCATTCGAGAGGACGCAACGGTGGAACCGATCTCTGTATAGAGCTGCATGCAGCTCTGTAGGGGTCCTGTGAGGGCTGCATCCGTCTCTATGTAGTTGTATCCATTGCAGCAGGGACCCCTACAGAGTTGCATCCAGCTCTCTAGGGATCCGTATCGAGCTGTATCCACTTTTGTAAGGGTCTCTGTGGATCTGCATCCAGCTCAGTAGGGATTTCTATAAGGCTGTATCCAGGTTTGTGGGGGTCTAGAGCTGTAACCAACTATTTAGGAGCCCTACTAGAGCTGTATCCAATTCTGTAGGGATCTCTACAGAACTGTATCCAGCTCTGTAGGGATCCTAGTGGAGCTGTATCCAGCTCTGTAGGGATGCCTCTAAAGCTGTATCCAGATCTGTACGGAACCCTATAGACTCTCCTCCGGGTGTGACAGAGGGGCATTACTTAGAAGGACAAGAAATTAAGCAGGCCGTGCAGGAGGTAGTGGTTGCAGCCGGGCAAAGGGAAAGTGTTGCACGCGTGTCAGAAACAACATTGACTCAAGTTCTTTACCAGGTTCGTGATCCCACAAGTTTCGTCACGGCGAGAGGAGGTGGGGGAATGCTCCCTGAGGAGGAGGAGGAGGGGAGAAGGAGGAGGAGGAGGAGGAGGAGGAGGAGGAGGAGGAGGAGGAGGAGGAGGAGGAGGAGGAGGAGGAGGAGGAGGAGGAGGAGGAGGAGGAGGAGCAACCTTCGGTGAGGAGGGCCCCTTCTCCGCCGCGGCGGGGCCCGCCGCGGCACGGAGGGCCCCCTCCGCCTGGCCGCAGATTCGCGCGCGCCGCCCTGCGCCTCAGCAAAGGCCGTGCAGGGCCGGCGCCGACCGCGCGCCCGCCGCGCGGCCCTCCCACCGCGGGGCCGCGTGGCCCCGCATTTGGGCGAGGCTGTTGCCGCCGCTGCCGCCGCCGCCGTCGCCGTCGTTGCCGCCGCCGCCGCCGCCGCCGCCGCCGCCGCCGCCGTCGTCGTCGTCGTCGTCGTCGTCGTCGTCGTCGTCGTCGTCGTCGTCGTCGCCGTCGTCGTCCTCGTCGTCCTCGTCGTCGTCGTTGTCGTCGTCCCCGTCGCCGTCGTCGTCGTCGCCGCCGCCGCCGCCGCCGCGTCGCCGCCGCCGCCGCCGCCGCCGCCGCCGCCTCCGCCGCCGTCGTCGTCGTCGTCGTCGTCGTCGTCGTCGTCGTCGTCGTCGTCGTCGTCGTCGTTGTCGTTGTCGTCGTCGTTGTCGTCGTCGCCGTCGTCGTCGTCGTCGTCGCCGCCGCCGCCGTCGTCGCCGTCGTCGCCGTCGTCGTCGTTGTTGTGGTCGTTGTCGTCAACGATGAGGACGAGCAGGAGGAGGGGTGGAGGAGGCGGAGGCAGCATGAGTCGGTCTCGGGCTGCGGCCGCAGCCCTTTTGCCTGCGGGCGGGGCCGCCTCGAGGCACTGGCCCGCGTCCTGGCCAGTGCCCGTGGGGCAGCCTGGACACCCACGTAAAGGAGAGATGATGCCATTCAATGCTTCGTGGTTATTCCCCTCAGGTCTCCTCATCCTATTCTAGAGCTCTAGACGCTCCGTGTACCCCAACCAGCTTATCCAAGAACGATGCCCAGACGAGCTGCCCTGATCAGGGATGTGGAGGAGCATGCAGTGTAGTAAAGGGCTGGGTAAGACGTCATACCTCAAGAAAGGGATGATGGAGGAGGATTCGGAGGAGGAATCGGATGAGGATCGGGGGAGGGGGAGGAGGGAGGATGGAGATGGAGGAGGAGGAGGAGGAGGAGGAGGAGGAGGAGGAGGAGGAGGGCGAGCAGAAAGATCAGAGGCCTCTTCTATGCTTCTCGGATTCTCTTCGGGAGTCTATTGACAGCTTCTTGTATGCCTCTTGGGGCGTCTTGGGGGCCTCTTGGCGGTCCCAGGGGTCCCTTGAAGCGTCTTGGGTGTCTCGCTGGAGCCTCTTGAGGCCTCTTGGGGGTCTCTTGGGAGCCTCCTGGGGACATACTGGGGGCCTGTTGGGGCCTCCTGGGCGCTTCTTGGGGCCTTGGGGGCCATCTTGGGGACATCCAGGGGGAGTTCGATCAAAGAAGGGGAGGTACCGCATTAGCGCGCCCCCCCCCCCCACGAGGCTAAACTGAGCCCAACACCTGAGTAACATCAATTATTTGTGCCTTCTCGCCGAGGCTATTTTGGACCCTCCAACGACCCGCGACTCCCACCCTCCGAGTCCAGGCGTAGGGGTTAAGGGGAGGGACAAGACACCCTCCCCGGCCGCAAACTGTCTCGCTCACTCCCTCCCGCCCTCCCAACATAGAAGTAGCACCCGAGCTTCAGCATGCTACTGGAAATCAACGCAGACCCCGTGTGCGCGACGCTGGAGGGGGTTGCGCCACGCGTGCCAGGCGTGCCAGGCGCGCCACGCGCGCCAGGTCCGCCAGACCTCCCTGGGGCATGCCATTCGTGTCTCTTGGTCCGTCTTGGGCGCCTCTTGGGCCGTCTTGGGGCTCGCTTGGGCTGTTTTGGGGCCCTATTGGAGGCCTCTTGCGCCGTCTTGGGATAATCTTGGGGGCCTCTAGGGTCGTCTGGAAGTGTGGGGAAGCCGAAGAGGCGTGAACTCCCGAAACCGTCAACAACCAACGGAAAATCAATGACTTCGGTCCCTTGGGGCCCGCTTGGGAGGCTTCTTGGAGGCCTCTTGGGGCGTCTTGGAGGCCTCTTGGGCCATCTGGGGACCATCTTAAGCGTCTTGGAGCGATCGTTCGGCGACTCAGGGCTGCTTTGACCGTTTCGGAGGTCTCTTGAGACCCTCTTGGTCCGTCTTTGGGCTCTCTTGGTTCCTCCAAGCGACAAGCGGCGCCAAACCACGCCATGCCCCGGGAGATTTGGCAATTTGGGCTCCAGGCCTTTCAACGACTCCTCAGAAGTGTGGTGTGAGCTATGTGGTGTGGCCCGATGAGGTGAACACCGTGCGGTGCCAGTTGCGCGATGTAAGCTATGTCGAGTAAGATGGGTGGTGTGGGCTGGACGTGGAGGCTGTGCGGTGGAGGTTTCGCGATGTGGGCCACGTCGTGTAGTCTCTGCGGTGTAGGCTGTTCGGTGCAAGCCGCAGCGTGGCGGCAGCTGGCGGCAACGTGGCGACACGTCGAGGCACCCAGCCAGCGCACGAGGCGGCAACGAGGCGGCAACGGGCAGCACAGAGGCGAAGCCTCGGCGGACTCTCCACGCGCGGTGGGCGGCAACGAGGCGCCCACGGTCGGCAACGAGGCAAAACCTCGGCGGATTTCCCAAGCGCGGTGGGCGGCAGCGAGGCGCCCACGGGCGGCAACGTGGCGAAATCTCGGCGGATCCATCCAAATCCTCAAGGACACAGGTGAGAACCCCTTGAAGTGTAAGCGCTGCCTGGTGGAAAACAAGAAAGCCTTCCCCCTCCCTGGCGCGCAGATCGCGCCAGAAGGGATTCATCGCCGATCCAAGGACTCCGCGTGTACCTCTGGAGTGCAGATGAATGTTTTCCAATTACTTCATGTGTGCAATTCGCCTCGATAAGCCGACAGGGTGGGTGGGTTCGGGTGTTCACCCCCCCTGTAAAATTGTACCTTCCCGCTCCAGAGGCGCGGTCCCATCGTCGACGATGCTCGTTCGATGCTGCACCGTAGGCAATTTGGCCCAAAGAGTCCCAAGGGGGCGAAACGCGTAGCCTCGTTTTCATTTCGCCTGAGGCTTGATCCCAAACAAGTGTGGTTCCAGGCCTCTTTGATGGGGTTCCAGCAGACGGGGTCGGAGAGCCGCGCCGGAGCGCCGATGCATCGGCGGTGCGGCTTGTCGTGGAGCCCGACCTTCTCCACGCCGACGTCGTCGA